ACCCCTGCCGGACCATCGGCAGGAGGTATTTGTAATATGTGAGGCATGGTGATTAGATCAGGTGCTCGTCAAAATAATGAAATCCGAGAAATCTGCATTTTTCGGACAGATTGGATATTTTTGTTTTGTTTTGGGGCTTATCACCTTTGTATGTCCTTTCAAAAACACTTTTATGTGTGGATTTTATGGAAAACGTTGATTAGAGGCACAAAAAATATAAATTTGCTATTTCCCAAGAGTCTAAAACTTTTGTGGCCATTTTCTCGCTACTGTTACTTCTGAAACCAGGCGACACCACCTCCTTCAATCGCAAATATCTCGACTTCTACTCAAGATAAATTGATATTATTTCATTGAAAGCAAGGCGAATGAAAAACTTTTTAAATGATTCCGACAATTCCATATGACCAAAAATTGACGAGCGCCGGATTCCTCTGACACATGTCTTGGAAAACCATTTGTTCATTAGTTCAATAAAATTAGAAAAATACTTATCGATGGGAGTTCAATGTAAAAGTTGTTCTTTTTGAGTTTAGGTGAAAAAAGAAAACGATCAAGTGTATTTACTGACATATTTTTCTAAATATCCTTCTGTCCTTTTAAACCAATTGTAAACAATCTTATAGCGACTCTTTTTATTTTCCAAAACGAAAAAAACAACTGTACATGTAAATGAGGATATTCCTAATTGACTCATGTCTTCATCACCAGGACCCCTCCGCTGAAGAGGAGGATGACCCGGAGCAGGATCCCATGGATACCACGGTCGGACCATCGGCAGGAGGTATTTGTCTGTGAAGTGTCTTTAAACATAATTTGTTTATTATTGTAGTTAGTTTTGGAAATTACCCGTGTGTGTCTGACTTCACTGTAAAAGTTAAAATTTTTGCATTTTGGAGAGGGAAAATGATTAAACATATTTACTTACAGATTTTTCTAAATGTCCTAATGACTTTTTAAACCAACAGGGAACAGTGTTTTAAGGACTCTTTTTTTTCTGAAATAAAAAAACCCAAACTGTACAGATGAAAGAGGATATTCCTAATTGACACATGTTTTCATCACCAGGACCCCTCTGCTGGAGCGGAAGATGAGCTGGAGGAGGACTCATGGATACCACGGCCGGACCATCGGCTGGAGGTATATTTGTGTGTGAAGTGTGTCTTTACACATAATTTGTTTATTATTTCAATGTTTTAGAAAATATGTGTTTGTCTGACTTCAATGCATTTAGGAGAAAGAAAATGATTAAACATATTTACTTACAGATTTTTCTAAATGTCCTGATGACTTTTTAAACCAACAGTAAACAATTTTATAATGACTGTTTATTTTCTGAAACAAAAAACACTGTACAGATGAAAGAGGATATTCCTAATTGACACATGTCTTCATCACCAGGACCTCTACGCTAGAACGGAGGATGACGTGGAGGAGGACACATGGATACCACGGCTGGACCATCATCAGGAGGTATTTATCTGAGAAATATGTCTTGGAACTTTTTTTGTTTCTTGTGTCAGTAAATTTAGAAAAATACCTATGGATGGGCCTGAGTTCAATGTGAAAGTTTTCTTTTTGAGTTTAGGTGAAAAAAGAAAATGATCGAATGTATTTACTGACAGATTTTTATAAATATCCTTCTGTTCTTTTAAACCAACTGTAAACAATTTTATAGCGACTCTTTTTATTTTCCAAAATGAAAAAAAAACTGTACATGTAAATGAGGATATTCCTAATTGACTCATGTCTTCATCACCAGGACACCTCCACTGAAGAGGAGGATGACCCGGAGGAGGACCCATGGATACCACGGATGGACCATCGGCATGAGGTAATTGTCTGTGAAGTGTGTCTTTAAACATAATAAGTTAATTATTTCAATAAGTTTTGGAAAATACCTGTGTGTCTGAATTGAATGTAAAAATTTAATTTTTGCATCTAGAAGGAAAATGATGAAACAATTTACAGATTTTTCTAAATGTCCTAATGACTTTTTAAACCAACAGTAAACAATTTTATAAGGACTCTTTATTTTCTGAAACAAAAACACTGTATAGATGAAAGAGGATATTCCTAATTGACACATGTCTTCATCACCAGGACCGCTCCATCTGCTGGAGCGGAGTATGAGCTGGAGTAGGACCCATGGATACAATGGCCGGACCATCGGCAGGAGGTATTTATCTGTGAAATATGTCTTGGAACTTTTCTTGTTTCTTATGTCATTAAATTTAGAAAAATACCTATGGATGGGCCTGAGTTCAATGTGAAAGTTTTCTTTTTGAGTTTAGGTGAAAAAAGAAAATGATCGAATGTATTTACTGCTTTTTATTTTCCAAAAGAAAAAAAAAACTGTACATGTAAATGAGGATATTCCTAATTGACTCATGTCTTCATCACCAGGACCCCTCCGCTGAAGAGGAGGATGACCCGGAGGAGGACCCATGGATACCACGGCTGGACCATCGGCAAGAGGTATTTTTCTGTGAAGTGTGCCTTCTAAAAAAATGTTTTAATTATTTCAGTAAGTTTAGGAAAATACCTGGGTGTGTCTGACTTCATTGTAAAAGTTAAATTTTTGCATTTAGAAGTAAAATGACTGAACATATTTACAGATTTTTCTAAATGTCCTAATGACTTTTTAAACCAACAGTAAAGTTTTATGACTCTTTATTTTCTGAAACAAAAAAACACAAACTGTACAGATGAAAGAGGATATTCCTAATTGACACATGTCTTCATCACCAGGACCCCTCCGCTGTAGCGGAGGATGACCCGAAGCAGGACCCCATGGATACCACGGCTGGACCATTGGCAGGAGGTATTTTATGTTAAGTGTGTCTTTAAACATAATTAGTTAATTATTTCAATAAGTTTTGGAAAATACCTGTGTGTGTCTGAATTGAATGTAAAAATTAAATTTTTGCATTTAGAAGGAAATTGATAAAACATATTTACAGATTTTTTAAATGTCCTAATGACTTTTTAAACCAACAGTAAACAATTTTATAAGGACTCTTTATTTTCTGAAACAAAAACACTGTACAGATGAAAGAGGATATTCCTAATTGACACATGTCTTCATCACCAGGATCCCTACGCTGGAACGGAGTACGAGTTGGAGGAGGACCCATGGATACAATGGCCGGACCATCGGCAGGAGGTATTTATCTGTGAAATATGTCTTGGAACTTTTCTTGTTTCTTATGTCATTAAATTTAGAAAAATACCTATGGATGGGCCTGAGTTCAATGTGAAAGTTTTCTTTTTGAGTTTATGTGAAAACGGAAAAAGATAGAAGGTATTTACTGACTTTAGACCAACATTAAACAATTTTATAACGACTCTTTTAACTTTCTGAAAGAAATAATTAGACTATACAGATGAAAGAGGATATTCCTAATTGACACTGGTCTTCATCAACAGGACCCCTCCGCTGGAGCTGAGGATGACTTTGGAGGATCCCATGGATACCACGGCCGGACCATCGGCAGGAGGTATTTGTCTGTGAAGTGTCTTTAAACATAATTTGTTTATTATTTCAGTTAGTTTAAGAAAATACCTGTTTGTGTCTGAGTTCAATGTAAAAGTTACATTGTTACATTTAGAAGGAAAATGATTAAACGTGTTTACATATATTTCTAAATGTTCTAATGACTTTTTAAACCAACAGTAAAGTTTTATTAGGACTCTTTACTTTCTGAAAACAAAAACAACAAACTGGACTCCTTATTTTCTGAAACAAAAAAAAACTGTACGGATGAGAGGATATTCCTAAATGACACATTTCTTCATCAACAGGACCCCTTCGCTGAAGCGTAGGATGACCTGGAGGAGGACCCATGGATACCACGGCTGGACCATCGGCAGGAGGTATTTATCTGTGAAGTGTATCTTTGAACATAATTTGTTTATTATTTCAATAAGTTTGTAAATATACCTGTTTGTGTCTGACTTCAATGTAAAAGTTTAATATTTGCATTTTGGAGAAGGAAAATAATTAAACGTATTTACAGATTTTTCTAAATGTTCAAATGACTTTTTGAACCAACAGTAAACAGTTTTATAAAGACTCTTTATTTTCTGAAAAAAAAATCCAAAAAACAAACTGTACAGATGAAAGAGGATGTTCCTAATTGACACACGTCTTCATCACCAGGACCCCAATGACCTGAAGGAGGATCCATGGGTACTACGGCTGGACCATCGGCAGGAGGTATTTATCTGTGAAATATGTCTTGGAACTATTTTTGTTTTTTATATCAGTAAATTTATAAAAATACCTATCGATGTGCCAGAGTTCAATGTGAAAGTTTTCTTTTTGAATTTAGGTGAATAAAGAAAATGATCAAATGTATTTACTGACAGATTTTAGGATAATCCTAATTGACTCATGTCTTCATCATCAGGACCCCTCCGCTGAAGAGGAGGATGACCCGGAGGAGGATCCCATGGATACCACGGCCGGACCATCGGCAGGAGGTAGGAAAATGATTAAACGTATTTACAGACAGATTTTTCTAAATGTCCTAATGACTTTTTAAACCAACAGTAAACAATTTTACAACAACTCTTTATTTTCTGAAACAAAAACACTGTACAGATGAAAGAGGATATTCCTAATTGACACATGTCTTCATCACCAGGATCCCTACGCTGGAACGGAGTACGAGTTGGAGGAGGACCCATGGATACAATGGCCGGACCATCGGCAGGAGGTATTTATCTGTGAAATATGTCTTGGAACTTTTCTTGTTTCTTATGTCATTAAATTTAGAAAAATACCTATGGATGGGCCTGAGTTCAATGTGAAAGTTTTCTTTTTGAGTTTATGTGAAAACGGAAAAAGATAGAAGGTATTTACTGACTTTAGACCAACATTAAACAATTTTATAACGACTCTTTTAACTTTCTGAAAGAAATAATTAGACTATACAGATGAAAGAGGATATTCCTAATTGACACTGGTCTTCATCAACAGGACCCCTCCGCTGGAGCTGAGGATGACTTTGGAGGATCCCATGGATACCACGGCCGGACCATCGGCAGGAGGTATTTGTCTGTGAAGTGTCTTTAAACATAATTTGTTTATTATTTCAGTTAGTTTAAGAAAATACCTGTTTGTGTCTGAGTTCAATGTAAAAGTTACATTGTTACATTTAGAAGGAAAATGATTAAACGTGTTTACATATATTTCTAAATGTTCTAATGACTTTTTAAACCAACAGTAAAGTTTTATTAGGACTCTTTACTTTCTGAAAACAAAAACAACAAACTGGACTCCTTATTTTCTGAAACAAAAAAAAACTGTACGGATGAGAGGATATTCCTAAATGACACATTTCTTCATCAACAGGACCCCTTCGCTGAAGCGTAGGATGACCTGGAGGAGGACCCATGGATACCACGGCTGGACCATCGGCAGGAGGTATTTATCTGTGAAGTGTATCTTTGAACATAATTTGTTTATTATTTCAATAAGTTTGTAAATATACCTGTTTGTGTCTGACTTCAATGTAAAAGTTTAATATTTGCATTTTGGAGAAGGAAAATAATTAAACGTATTTACAGATTTTTCTAAATGTTCAAATGACTTTTTGAACCAACAGTAAACAGTTTTATAAAGACTCTTTATTTTCTGAAAAAAAAATCCAAAAAACAAACTGTACAGATGAAAGAGGATGTTCCTAATTGACACACGTCTTCATCACCAGGACCCCAATGACCTGAAGGAGGATCCATGGGTACTACGGCTGGACCATCGGCAGGAGGTATTTATCTGTGAAATATGTCTTGGAACTATTTTTGTTTTTTATATCAGTAAATTTATAAAAATACCTATCGATGTGCCAGAGTTCAATGTGAAAGTTTTCTTTTTGAATTTAGGTGAATAAAGAAAATGATCAAATGTATTTACTGACAGATTTTAGGATAATCCTAATTGACTCATGTCTTCATCATCAGGACCCCTCCGCTGAAGAGGAGGATGACCCGGAGGAGGATCCCATGGATACCACGGCCGGACCATCGGCAGGAGGTAGGAAAATGATTAAACGTATTTACAGACAGATTTTTCTAAATGTCCTAATGACTTTTTAAACCAACAGTAAACAATTTTACAACAACTCTTTATTTTCTGAAACAAAAAAAACTGTGCAGATGAAAAAGGATATTCCTAATTGACACATGCCTTCATCAACAGGATCCCTCCGCTGAAGCTAGGATGACCTGGAGGAGGACGCATGGATACCACGATCCATTGGCAGGAGGTATTTATCTGTGAAATATGTCTTCGAACTTTTTTATGTTTCTTATGTCAGTAAATTTAGGAAAATATCTATCGATGTGCCTGAGTTCAATGTGAAAGTTTTCTTTTTGAGTTTATTTGAAAAAAGATAATGATCAAATGTATTTACTGACAGATTTTTATAAATATCATTCTGTCCTTTTAAACTAACTGTAAACAATTTTAAAGCGACTCTTTTTATTTAAAAAAAAAAAAAAAAACTGTACATGTGAGAGAGGATATTCCTAATTGACACATGTCTTCATCACCAGGACCCCAATGAGCTGAAGGAGGACCCATGGATACCACGGCCGGACCATCGGCAGGAGGTATTTATCTTTGAAGTGTGTCTTGGAACTTTTTTTTGTTTCTAATGTCAGTAAATTTAGAAAAATACCTATGGATGGGCCTGAGTTCAATGTGAAGTTTTCTTTTTGACTTTAGGTGAGAAGGGAAAAATATAAAAAGTATTTACTAAGTTTAGACCAACCTTAAACAATTTTATAACGACTCTTTTAACTTTCTGAAACAAATAACTAAACTGTACAGATGAAAAAGGATATTCCTAATTGGAAAATACTTGGGTGTGTCAGACTTCAATGTAAAAATAACATTTTTGCATTTAGAAGGAAAATGATTAAATGTATTTACTTACAGATTTTTCTAAATGTCCTAATTACTTTTTAAACCAACAGTCAACAATTTTATAATGAATGTTTATTTTCTGAAACAAAAAACACTGTACAGATGAAAGAGGATATTCCTAATTGAAGCATGTCTTCATCACCAGGACCCCTACGCTGGAACGGAGGATGACCTGGAGGAGGATCCCATGGATACCACGGCTGGACCATCATCAGGAGGTATTTATCCGTGAAATATGTCTTGGAACTATTTTTGTTTCTTGTGTCAGTAAATTTAGAAAAATACCTATGGATGGGCCTGAGTTCAATGTGAAAGTTTTCTTTTTGAGTTTATGTGAAAACGGAAAAAGATAAAAGGTATTTACTGACTTTAGACCAACCGTAAACAATTTTATAACGACTCTTTTAACTTTCTGAAACAAATAATTAAACTGTACAGATGACAAAGGATATTCCTAATTGACACATGTCTTAATCACCAGGACCCCTCTGCTGGAGCGGAGGATGACCCGGAGCAGGATCCCATGGATACCACGGTCGGACCATCGGCAGGAGGTATGTTGTCTGTGAAGTGTGTCTTGAAACATAATTTTTGTATTATTTCAATAAGATTTGGAAAATACCTGGGTGTGTCAGACTTCAATGTAAAAGTAAAATTTTCGCATTTAGAAGGAAAATGATTAAAAGTATTTACTTACAGATTTTTCTAAATGTCCTAATGACTTTTTAAACCAACAGTAAACAATTTTATAATGACTGTTTATTTTCTGAAACAAAAAACACTGTACAGATGAAAGAGGATATTCCTAATTGACACATGTCTTCATCACCAGGACCTCTCCGCTGATGTGGAGGATGACCCGGAGCAGGATCCCATGGATACCACGGCCGGACCATCGGCAGGAGGTATTTATCTGTGAAGTGTATCTTTAAACATAATTTGTTTATTATTTCAATAAGATTTGGAAAATACCTGTGTGTGTCTGACTTCAATGTAAAAGTTTAATTTTTGCAGTTTGGAAAGGAAAATGATTAAACGTATTTACAGAGTTTTCTAAATGTCCTAATGACTTTTTAAAGCAACAGTAAACAATTTTATAAGGACTCTTTTTTTTCTGAAATAAAAAAACCCAAACTGTACAGATGCAAGAGGATATTCCTAATTGACACATGTTTTCATCACCAGGAATCCTCCGCTGGAGCCTAAGATGAGCTGGAGGAGGACTCATGGATACCACGGCCGGACCATCGGCAGGAGGTATATTGTCTGTGAAGTGTGTCTTGAAACCTAATTTTTGTATTGTTTCAGTAAGTTTAGGAAAATACCTGGGTGTGTCTGACTTCAATGTCAAAGTTTAATTTTTGCATTTAAAAGAAAAATGATTAAACGTATTTACTTACAGATTTTTCTAAATGTCCTAATTACTTTTTAAACCAACAGTAAACAATTTTATAATGACTGTTTATTTTCTGAAACAAAAAGCACTGTACAGATGAAAGAGGATATTCCTAATTGAGACATGCCTTCATCACCAGGACCTCTCCGCTGATGCGGAGGATGACCCGGAGCAGGATCCCATGGATACCATGGCCGGACCATCAGCAGGAGGTATTTTTCTGTGAAGTGTGTCTTCAAAAAAAATGTTTTAA